TAATTAGAGTAATAAATCATTTGACATGTTACTTGAACTATTAAAGGTAGCATTTCCAAGGTGCAAACATACCTAGTTCATTTATGAAACGAAGAGGAAACTACGAGGACTATTATTAGGATACGAGTCCATCAATGCTTGCAAGTACAATTGTATATTATTTTGGAAAGAATATGCCGACTTTCAAACTTGTCCAGTATGTGGTGACGCATGGTATAACGAGAACATTAATAATAGTCAAAAGATTCCCCATAAGGTCTTACATCATTTCCCATTGATACCGAGGTTGAAGTGATTGTTCTCGTCAAAACATACCGTAGCTGAAATAAGGTGGCATAAGGAAAAGCGGGTGGAAACAGAGGGTGTGCTTCCACATCTAGCTGATGCTGTGTTGCAGGCTTACACAATCACGTTATACAAAGTGCAAATATACACTATATTGTTGACTTGTATAATAAACAAGGTTGAAATCCATAGGGTATGAGCAAATACTATGAAATATGCATCAAAATACCAATCGGACCAAACTAATAATATTTGAGAGGATTAACTATGTAACAACACATAAATGAATGACAAAAAACAAGTAACAGCAAAGTTGATTAAAATGCAATAAGAAATGCTGGGACAAGAGATGTGAACACAAGAGGGGATACGCCAGCGGTAAAATGGAAGCAAGAGAGATTGCTTACTGCAGTTCTCTATTCACAGTAGACACTCTAGGAAAGGAATTCAGTTGAAGCTAAAACAGACTTCACTCTCTTCCGATATACCCAAACACGATTTTCCACAACTTTGATTGCTTCAATATCGAATATTAAAACAATTTATTAAGTATAGTTAGGTGAATCTCATTCCTAAGCATTCACAATCTACTAGAAAAAAGTAGACTAACCATAATAAAGTTCAACACACATCTTATATAAAGTTGTTTGAGTTTGGGCTAATTCTTTTTTAGTTTCGGCTAATGCTGCTTGAGTACAAGCTAATTCTCCTATATTTTGTTGTATGATTGAATGACTAGTGTCAATTCTACCGATTGCAACGAGCTTGCTCTATTATCTACAAACAGTCAGTTATGTGAAGGGATTTAATCCTCTAGGGGAGGTGCTTATTTCAGTTAGGACCAATTCAGTATGCATTTATGGCTTAGATATGATAATATATTACTATACATGGATGACATGTACTCCCTAAGCAAAATTGACGAAATAAAACTTACATACGTCGATCCGATTTAGGTTGTATCTACCCGTTTGTTGGAAGATGCCTTGTCTCTTTAAACAATTGTATTTGGTTGATCTCAACACCCTGTTTTGCTTTCTGCATTTGATATTAATTACCTAGTCAATTCCAACACAAGTAATGGTACGTATTAACACAATAAGTTATGTGAAATTACCAGTTATGTAAAATTAAATATTCTTACTACAGGCGAATAAACGATTTAGATCATATGCAATGGTTGGACGGATAAAAAGTATTGTACCTTGACTCTAGCGACTCCCAGCATAAATCTCCTAATCATTTTCACGTTTAATATGAGGAGATGGATTCGCACAAGCTTCCTCAGGAGTTGCGAATCTTTTGTAGTGGTCATGTAATTTCGCTCTGTACTCTTTAAACGTAGACCGTAGCTCCTAGTAGATGTATTTACATACGAGATTCTAGGGCATGTTTAATTAGAACCAGTTTTGCATAAGTAAAAGTGTAAGAACTCGGTGAGGATTACTATACTTTAACATAATTTAACATTAAAAACAAAACATAAATAACTTAAGGTCGCCAGAAAGACCATCGCCAACAAATTTGAGTTGCTTCAGCGTAAGGCACTTTTCCCAATTAAATGTCATTTCGTCAGGAGAAATGGCGACAAATTATAATTGCGTCGCCCTAAATGACTTTTCCCGAATTATTTCGTCAGCATAAAGAAACATTCTTGTAGTGCCCATTGGAAAAGGACATTTCTTTGTTGTTTTAACCTATTTACTTTTTCCAACGTTTTTTATAAAGTGTTGGGAAAAGTGGACAATGCCGACGCTTTTATGATATATGGGGAGAAGTTTCATTGGTGTAGCTCAAAATTCTTATAGTGAATATACATCGAGTCTAATAAAAGGTTACTTGAATAAATAAGTATAATCAAAATAAAGAAGAAAACAATAAATTTCATCTAAATGACTTAATATTAAGTTATTAACTACAAATTAATGAGCCTCCAAATTTTTAATATCAATATGGTATTAAGTCTCTAATAATTTTTGGGACAGTTATACAAATAGACTACTTTTTGGATCATAATTATATAAACGAACTATAAAAATTGATAATTTTGTCAATAGTTGAGCCCCTTGGTGAAGAAGCCAATTTTTAAATTATTAAACTAGCATGTAATATACTTTTTTATAAACAAATAAAAAAAATCAAGGTAGGATCTAAAAATATGGCAGAAATCATCGTTTCCATAAAAATAAAAATAAAAAACCCATAAACTCTCTTTAATAAAAAATTCTTTGATTTATGGCCAAAGAGTTCTCAACCCTATTTTACAAAATCACACCAAGCTAACAATTGATTCCTCGTCCAAAAAAGACACAGAGAAGAAAGAGCCTCCGTTGAGCAAAACTATAGTTCTTAGCAATTTTTAGGCGATTATTCACCGCCACCTATGAAAATCTCCTGTTCTTCTATTTTAGAGTGTTTTCCAACGAATATTCACTACTGCATGAGAAGCTCCAGTTTTTAGTTATTTTTCTTGCAATTATTCACTGCTGGATCTCCTTTTTCAGTGTGTTTTTTTAGCGATTATTCACTGCCATCGACAAGAAGTTCCATACTTTAGTTTTTTTCTTTTTAAAATTTTTTTGAGCGATGAAAAACTAAGCAGTCTTTCCAATATTTTAGATTGGTCACTGGCGTTTCTTATCCAGAGACGAGAAAGAACTCACCTGATTTTTGGTGCGATTTCTTCGACATTTTGTTCGATTTTAGCGGCCATTCAGTAGGAGATTTCAAATTATAATAAATGTATATATTATATAACCGTATATACCAATAAGAAATATATATTATATAATCTACTTGACGGTTATATATGTTTATCATACTTTAGATTTAAGTTGAAGGTATATAACTTTTTTTTTTGAAATCCAAAAGAAAAAAAAAACTTCGTTAAAAAAAACTTGCCACTTGGGCTACAAAAGCACTAAATGGGCCATGGTGAAACAAGACAATTAAGCTTCATAAACAAACGCATATTTCGTCAAACACTTGGCTACAGTATTTTGATCTCTCTGCACATGGCTGAAAGTAACTCTCTCTAAACTCCTTTGAAGCCCACGAATTTCGGCAACCAAAACCTCTGTCTCTCCCAAAATTTCCATATGTGAAGAAAGAAGCTTTACGGCTTCAAGACAATTAGACTCCACACAAATCTGATGGAACTCCAACCAAAGAGCAAGGCGATGAGCCTCCTTAATAGCCACCAATTCCGCATGCAAAGGTGAGAATCTGACGTCCACAAATTGGGACAATGCAAAAATGATGTTCAAATCTTTTGTTATACTCAATGCTTCAAGTACAGGTTATCGCACATAACAAATCGATAAACCAATATATCAGAAGAGCCAATTCCCAATGACAGCCAACAACGAAGTAAAAATAAGAGATAAAAGAGAGAAAGAAAAACACAACGATTTATAGTGGTTCGATCATAAAATTGATCTACATCCACTTTAGTCACTTCACTAAATCAGAATCGATTACAAAGAAAACATCGGGGAACTCACCCTCAGCTTTACCACCACTGAAAACACGTGAAAACTCTTCAATATTCTTCCCTCAGCCTCAGTATGCCTTACCCATACATAATAGCACACTCCCAGCAAGATTTCTCACTCAACCTTGCTCTCTCCCAAGCTGTAACTTCATGGTCTCTCTTTTTAGGAAGAATGCGTGAAGGAGAAGAAGAAGAAATCTACAAAATTCTAAAGTCTTCTTTTTCTAACCAACTAATCCAGACCATTTAGCTGGACCGATAGTGGGAATATTGCTGACATCACCCTGATATACCAAAAATGAGTTGGATAAAAACATGACTCATTTTTAAAGCTGACTGGACTTAGCAAATAAGAGATTAAGGCAGTCAACAAATTACAAATCTCCACCTTGACTACTTAATCTCTATTCTGATCTCCTTTCAAGTGAAGTAACTTTGAATCACCCCAACTACACAGCTCCAATCTTGAGAGTCTTAAGACAACTCTCAAGCTTGAAAATAGTCACTGCTTTAGTAAAAGCATCTGCAGCATTTTCAGACGTACCAATCTTTTTAAGGTTTACTTTCCCCTCATTTATTACATCTCTTATGAAATGGTAACGCACATCAATATGCTTGGTCCTTTCATGAAAGGTTTGATTTTTCGAACATTCTGCACTTTGGCTCTCACAATATATGGTCGCTGTCTTGGTTTCTTCTCCTTCTAATTTAGAAGTTAGCTCTTGAAGCCACAAGGCCTCTTTCACAACCTCAGTGGCAGCCATATATTCTGATTCTGTGGTTGAAAGAGCAACCATAGAATGGAATGATAATCGCCATCAACAAATCCGACTAAATATTCAGGATCATTAACTGATTTAGTGTATATTAGACCATAATTTACAGTTCCTTTAACATATCGTAGAATCCATTTAATAGCTAGCCAATGTTGCCACCCCGGATTTGACATAAATCTCGAAACTACACTCATACAATGGGCTAAGTCAGGTCTAGTACATACCATCAAATACATCAAACTACCCACCACATTTGAATAAGGTATAGAAGCCATTTTCTCTCTTTCTTCTTCATTTTTAGGAGCTTGTTCCATTGAAAGTTTGAAATGCCTTCCTATTGGGTCTCGGTGGGTTTGGAGTCATACATATGAAATTTCTTTTAACATTTTTTCATCATAAACCTTCTGAGATAGTTTCAATATCCCCTCTGTTCTGTCTCTCATAATATCAATACCCAAAATTCTTCTTGCCTCACCCATATATTTCATTTCAAATTTTCCCTTAAGTTGATTTTTTAAACAAACAATCTCCTTTATATCTTCGTAAGCTAACAACATATCATCAACATATTGCAAGAGATATATTGTTGCTTTATTTGGAGAGTGTTTAAAGTAAACACAGTGGTCTAATTTACTCTTAATAAAACCACATTTAGTAATAAAAGAATCAAACTTAAGATACCATCTCCTAGGTGATTGTTTTAAACCATAAAGTGATTTCTTCAAGAGCATACCTTATTCTCATCTTTTTTTGAGATGAATCCTTTGGAATGTTCCATGTATATTGTTTCTGCCAAGTCCCCGTGCAAGAATGCGGTCTTTACGTCCATTTGCTCAAGCTCTAGATCATATGCATCAGTTAGTGATAGAAGAATTCGAATTGAAGCATGTCTTACCACCGGTGAAATTTTTTTTGTGTAATCAACTCCTTCCTTTTGTGTGGAGAAACGCCATTTTCACTATCATTTGACTCTAAAGCGGTAGTGCTAGTCGAAATCGGACTCCTCTCCCAGGGTAGAGCAGTTCAGTCTACTTGATAACAACGAATCTGTATAGCTCAACCTCGACCTATCAGAATAACATCGAGAAACAACACGGTTACGAACTACTGAATACAAAAATCAAATAGCTCGATACTATAACTCGAAGGTTAAGAAACGTGACTTTAAAGAAGGTGATCTGGTGTTAAGAAAGATTATGCCCAATACCAAAGATTCAACTAGCGGAGCGTTCGGGCCAACATGGGAGGGCCCATACAAAGTCACTAAAGTGGTGCGAATAGGCACTTGTGCTCTAGAAGACCAATGGAGGAAGGCCTTACTACACCCATGGCACGCTCAACACCTCAAAAGATACTACCACTAGTTCAACATATTTCTAGACATTTTTATGTTTTTCCATTATTTGGACCAACTAAGGTTATTGTAACTAAATCTTCGATAGGACGATCTTCCTATTAATAAAGTCTTTGACAGTCGACGTGATACTTAGTTTTTATGTTCATTCTGAAAGTAAATTTCTCAAGCAAGGGGCATCATATGAATATCTACATATCTACGACCTAAATATCTACATATCTACGACCAATCAAGAAACTCAAAATTGGGACGGACCTAGAAGCAAGCCAAACAGGCAAAAAGCCAATAACCGCTCAGCATGGTCAAAACTAAAGTAGAAAAATACATGATATAAAACTATTTGGCATAAAAAGCCAGGCAAGTTAGAAATCCAAAGATATCGACATTAGTTCTGTTAAAGTTGGATCTCAAGGCCAAAAGTAAATGGTTTAAACTCATATGAGAATAAAATCAGACTTAGGAGACTTGATTGTGGTCATGAATAGTATCGACAAGCTCAAGGCATAAAACAAGTGGTAGGAACTAAGCAGCTAAAACCCAAAATTGGACCAATAGCTTTTGGTAGAAGCTCTGTGAGTTAGAAACCTTGACATTATTAGCCATTGATATACATATAAATTAGGCTATGTTATAGAATGATCTCGTGGTAACGACAAGCGACAGGTACTCTCAAAACAAAGATCTTGACACAATTATTCATCTTCTGTTTTGAGATTGGGGGCCATTGTTATAGAGAACAAAAACGACTCGAAATGAGACAAAGAGTTGAAGCCCGAGATCATCGATTGGGGGAGATCGACCCGCGACGTAACGAGCATGCCCAAAGGACGACCTAATGCCGAGGTAGAGAACGAGGAAAGCGACTAGCAGAGAACCAACCGGGCCGGGCTCGGCCCACGACCCAGCCCGTGAATCTCCCACCTGCAATCAACGATTCCCCTCGGGCCCTGCAATGCTGAATTAGGGTTTGGCTACGAAAGGTTCTGGAATCATCTTCATGGCTATAAGTAGCAGTGAGATCCAACCTTGAAGAGGCAAGTGACTTATCTCTAGCTCACTATTTTCTCAACTCTCCCTCACTAACTTAAGCATCAGAGCTTATGTAACTGAGGTCACACGGATTTAGATCGGTTTGGTTTTTCAGGTATCGGTTCCCTTATTATCAAGTTAGGTGTGTGCTAGAAGAAGAATCAGAGAGTCAAAATCCACGCATCAACAGCCTGAAGCAAATCCTCATTCCATCTCCCTTCAACCATAAGATCACTCACCAATAGGTCTCTATTCGAGTGGGGAGGAGGGAGGGATAAAGACTTGAAAGTCGTAGCATGAAGTAAACAAGGATCATAAAAAACACGAATAGTTGGGCCATCTCCTATTCTTTTCCTCAAACCATATTGTAAAAGTTCTCAGTCCCATAAAAAACTCTTCGAAAAATAAGAATAATTCTTATCAAGAGAAATGTCAATATAATGTGTATGTTATATAACACATTGGATAAAAAACTATATATTATATAACTTAATAATTTAGTATATACCACTAAAAGATATATATTATATAACATATTGGGTGGGTATATTATTGTCATACTATAGATTAGTTTAAAAAGTATATTTTATATAACCTAATTATTTAGTATATACCAATAAAAGGTATATATTATATAGTATTTTAGACGAATATATATTTATCATACTGTAGATAATATTAGAGTAGAAATTATATTATGTTAATGTCGCTAGAATTTTCAACCATCGAAAAACTAATGGATCGCCGGAAAAAAATTAGATCCACGAAAGAACGATTGAGCCATTGTTATGAGTTTCAGAAATTTAATAAGAGCGGGAAGTAAAAAAAAACCATCAGAAAAATAATATAATAGTGAACCAATGTAAAGTCATCAGATGTTTGAAAAAAATAAGTATAAAATCATCGAAAATGGAGCAATCGTAAATTTCCAGAAAAATAAGAACTTCAAAAAGGTGATGAAAATTTTAGTCATTTGTGGTTATTATATACACTAAAATGGAAAGAAATGAAAATATAAGAAATTATTTACAAAATATAATAAAAATATAAAGACTATTCCATAACCATAAAAGGAGGAAAGAAAATGAAAATATAACATTTTTTAAATAAATATATATATATATATATACGCGCCTAAAAGTCAATTCAATGTCACTCTTATTTGATAGGTTCAAAAAAAGAAGAAACAAACGTGGAGTACGATTTTAAGATGTATATATATATATATATACACACACACATACACGTACGTACATTTGGTTCGATTTGAGATTTAGCTTATTATTTACAAATCGAAATTGAACTGAACCATTCAATTTTTTACCGTTAGTAAAGCAAATTGAACCGACATCTTAATTAAACTGCCAAAATCAGTTTGACTCAGTTTAATTTGTCTGTTTTATTGTGTTCCTCTATTTTGTGGCACACCCCTAATATTGGGACAAAAAATTGAAATTCAAATCACGATTTGTAAAATTTGAAAAATTTGGACATTTATAAAATAACATCAATGAATTGAGATAGTTTCCCCTAATTTCGTTAGCACTATAGAAAAATGAGCTTCAAGGACGAAATATTTTCGTCGTGGAAGGTATATACAACAAAAATGTTTTATTCTCAAGACCAGTCCGAGTGGAGTTGCCAAAGGATTTCAACCATGAAAACTAAAGCATCGCATAACTCCACGACAAAATCATGTTTCTTTGATTAAGAGACGAACAATAGTTTCGTTGCTTTGATACTTTGGCCATTATTTTTTGTCGCAGTTTACGTTCTTGTTTTTCCCTTTTTTTGTATTGTGACATTATACAATTTCATTACTATATATAACGATATTTTCATTATTTCGTCGTTAAATTAAAAAAAAAACATTATGTTCCATCCAATATAAATAATTGCATGTGATCAAAATCATAATACATAATATAACAAACATAAGACATGTTTCCTAGAAAAATAAAAATAAAAACAAAAAATACAAAACAAAATAAAACATAAGACACAGTCATTCAACATACTTAACATTAAAAAATATAAGCTCCAACAACAAACTTAACGTTGTGAAGTTCATTCATGAAAGATAATCATAATTCTCAAGCTCCAACATCAAACTCCAACAAACTCCGAAACAAACTTCACATTCAAAAAAATTCAAGCTCCAAGAATTACCATTCCATTGTTTGTTATGGGGCTCACAGACACATTCAAAAGTTTGAAAGCTCCAATAACAAACATAAGACACGTTCGAAAGTACAATCTTCAACAAAAAATTTCACATTTATAGAAGACAAAAACATATTTCTCAAGCTCCAACAACAAACTTCACATGGAAGAAAAAAAAACAGAATTCTCAAGTTCCAACAACAAACTCTATAACAACTCCACATCCAAATGTTAGTTTAAACTCCAACAACAAAATTTCCATTAAAAAATTCACATTCACGTTTTATAGATCAAAAATATACGATAATCAAAAGATCCAACAACGAAGTCTAAAACAAAATTCACATTAGGCACCACCACACGTCAAAATGTATTATATATCATACTCAATGCACCCTTCATTCCACCCACCACCTCACCCACACTCCACTCCCTCAAACTACACCATCAAAACTTCAAACTCCACTAGCAATATTAGAGCAAAACATAAGGTGCATTGAAAAGCTTAAGCTCCAACAACAAACATAAGGCATGTTCAAAATTTCAACCTCCAGCAACAAACTTCACATTCATGAGAGTAAAAAACATATTTAACAAACTTCACATTCATGAGAGTCAAAAACATATTTCTCAAACTCCAACAATAAACTTTACCTGGAACACAAAAACATAATTCTCCAGCTCCAACAACAAACTTTATAACAAACTCCACATCCAAATGTTTCAAACTCCAACAACAAACACAAACTAACTTTATTCTTGTGAGCATCCTATTGCAACTTTTTGGTACCTTACTCAGTGATGAACTTCCTCTTTCAATAAATCCCTTGCATCCTTGCCAAACCTTCTATTGTATTCCTAGCGTTGCATATTCAGTAACTCCTGCGCCCTTACCATTTGCTCATTGATTGTTGTTCAATTACAAACGTTGTACCTCTAATAATTCTTGTAGTTGACTATGTAATAATATTTATGTTTTTGTAAGTCGAGCTTCCAAGGTATGAACGTACTCTTGGGAGCATCCTGCCGCCTTTTTTTTGGTACCTTACTCAATGATGAACTTCCCCTCCTCTAGTAAATCTCTGAAGAATTTATTCTATCCTTTCAAACATTCTCTCGTATTCCTGGCATTGCATATCCAATAGCTCTGGCATCCTTGTCATCTGCTCATTTGATTGTCGTTCAGCCACCAAACGTTGTGGCTCTAATAATTTATGTCGTTGACTCTGTAGTAATTCTTAAGTTTTTGCAAATCGAGCTTTCAGAGTCTGAACATACTCTGCCACATCTTTTTTACTTTGTGGTCTCGGACCAGATCTCATCCGTCTCTTTTTTACTTTATGGTCTCGGACCAGATCTCATCCCCTTCTTATTGGGTAAAACAACTCAAAAGGACTCGAATACTCCTCGTCTTCTTTTTCTATTCCAATAGATTATTTAATAATAATGAGATTCAAAACATATAATATACTACCACAAAGCACGAGTTTATACCTTGTCTTATCGATGAGATAGAAATGATTTTGGTCCAGCAAAATGATTGAATGAGAGCGTTTACTCCTTCTTACTTTGTTTTTTGTAGACTTTACCTACAGAAACAACATATATATATTCAGTCAAGTTTTTTTTAACCAAAACGACACCGTTTATATTTGGCGACAAACATGAGTTTCGTTGCAAAAAAACAAGACGGTGTCGTTTGGTGTTGATATTGCGAAAAATGTTCCTTTCATCGCCTTTTATGCGACGAAAGAGAATTTTGTCGCTTCTCTAAGCGATGGACTATTAATTCGTCGCATCATTAACAATGAAAATCAACTAACAAACTCAGTCTATGATACTCACGTGGCAGAGGAGCACCCACAAAATTAACTTTTTCGAGTTCAATATTTCTTTGTCGAAGAGCATCCACCGTACTGTTATGGAGGCATAAACATAATTTGTTTGTAGCTTATTCCTCTTTTTCATTTCAACTACAAGATTGTCAGATACACAATTTATTTAATGAGTAAAAAAGATACACTAAACCAAAAATATTCCCCAAAATCACGTATATTCCCCACAAAAACAAAGAAAAAATAATTCAATAATATTTCCACGTAACTAAAGAGAAAGCATCAAGATTATATAGAAAAATATAAAAGAAAATGTAAGACAACATCGTATTATCAGAAACACTTTCTACAATTAAAAGAAAGTATCAACAACATAAAGAGAGGAAGTAGCAATGGCATTAGAGGAAAATAATAGACAAATATTATATATATGTTAACTAAACTACAGCAAAGTAAAATAATAAACTAAACCACAAATATCCAACAGAAATGATGCAAATAATATTAAATCCCAATATGTCTATTTGAACTCAAACCCTCAAAAAAATTATGAAAAAAAGAAGAAAATAAAAATAACATATGGTTTTCTTTCGCAATATATATTTTGTTCCAAAAACCAAAACAGAAATTGAAAAGAAATTAGAAAGCAATCAGAAGCAACAGAGGAAGAAATCACCTGAAGGCTGAGAGGTTATTGTTTCACTGAGAGTATGGAGGCTAGAAAGTAGTGAAATTGGTCGTGGATGTTAATGAAAAAGCTGTCATTGCCGGTAATTTATAGACAGATACGACTCCCATTTGATGTGACCATTAAAAACTACGTGTTACAGATGAAAATGACATGCATTGGTTACGATTTTGTTGATTTATAGATAGATACGACTTCCATTTGATGTGACCATTAAAAATCACGTGTTACAGATGAAAATCACATGCATTGGTTACGATTTTGGTGATTTATAGACAGATACGACTTCCATTTGATGTGACCATTAAAAACCACGTGTCACAGATGAAAACCACATGCATTGGTTACGATTTTGGTTCAACTTGTGAGAAACACGTGCATCTTTTGTCGTTTATTTTAAAGTATAAAAAATATTAGAAAATAATAAATTAGTAAAAATTATAATTTAATTAGCTTTTTAAAAATAATTATATAAATAATAGAGGCTAGAAAGTAGTGAAATTGGGTGTGATGTCAGTACAAATGCTGTCAATGCCCTTGATTTCTAGACAGCTGTTGAGTTCCAAAAGCCACGTGTTAGGGATAAAAATAGCATGCATTGGTTGTGATTTTAGTTGGAAATATATCATTTCTGTATTAGCCATAAAACTCACATCTTGGTACAGTGGTTTACAGTAAAGTATAGCCCCAATTATTTTTATTTATATTTTTTATTATAAAAATATTTCAATTTAAAAAAAATTATATAATTAAATTCACACTAACCTCAATTCTAAAATTGAAACTTACTTTTCATAAATACTTCAAATTTTTTAAAAAATAAAAAGTTAATAGAATTCATGATTCTATATTATTTTTATAGAAATAATTAAAAAATTTATTAATACAAATATGTCAATTATAAAAATATAAAAAGAAAATACCGTGAAATATTCCAATTATAAGCTTTTAAAATAACTTTCTTCTCTATCATTTTAAATGGTACAACTACCACCCTACTGTTTTGAACCTAAAATAGATTTGTGGTCTTCTTATATAATTATTGTCGGAAATTTATTAAAAATATGATACGACATTTATTAAAAATAGTTATATGATATAAACTTAATTAGATATATTTTGTAAGAAAAAAAACTTAATTAGATATAAAAGTTAAAATTGTTTGTTTTAATTGAAATTTGTTTTAAAAAGAAAAATAAGTAAAAATAAGTATAATCTATAGCTATATCTATATCTATAATTATATCTATATCTATATCAAACATTTTTTAGCCCATAATACCCTTCTTAATTTTAAGTAAGTTACATAAATTTCCTTTTTTATAATAATTAACAATGGAATACACTTAAAACTTCGTTAAGAAAAAGAATGCACTTAAAATTATTAATTAATTATTTCATAGCAACCACCATTTTAATTATGTAGAAGTCCGTTCGAAACGTTTCATTGAAATGTTCAAAGAAAAATCAAATGGAAGGATTTGATAATTATTAACAATGGAATATGCTACGGTTTATTGAAATGGTTTATTGAAATGTTCAAAGAAGAATAGGAGCAATAAATGTCATTGTTTAGTAACAAATTCAGTTACAAAAAAGTATTATCATGATTATCACACATGATTATCACACTAATAACCGTAACGGAACACTATTCAAATTCTCAATGGAGTATATAAATATAACGATACTAGATTTAAACTCTCAGACCTCCTAAAAATTGATTGGAATAAGTTCAACGTGATGATTCTGAGTGACGCAATGGAAATGGGAGGAGACGAAATCAACCGTGGACGGGGACAGGGTTGAGACATGCATTTTCTATTTTTGAGACCCGACCTGTGGAAATTTTTGTCTTCCACTAAAGTAGAGACATGAAAATAGAGATGTAAGTAAACTTTTGGAAGATAAATTTTAGAGAAATAAATAAAAATATTTAGAAAAAAAATAGTGAAACAAAAGTTAAAGACAAAAAAAAAATTTAGAGAAAAAAAAACAAAGTCGAAAGGAAAAGATATGTTAAAGAAAAAAAATTATAAAGAAATAGAAAAATTATAGTGGAAACAAATTTAGAGATAAAAACAAGATTCAAAATATAATTTTTATAGAAAATAAATAAATAAAAGTTACCGTCAAATAAAATTGAACGAGAAAATAAAATATAATTTTTAGAGGAAAAAATAGGTTATGACGAGAAAGAAAAGTTATGAAATATGAAATTTTAGAGACAAAAAAAGTTAGAAAAAATATTAAATTTTTAGATACAAGAAAACTGGTCTGGTATGTTTGAAAAAAAAACAAAAATAAAGAAAAATTTGGAGAGAGACAAATAACAATAAAAATTTTAGAGGGAGAAAAAAAGTTTGTAGAGAGAAATTTAGAAATAAAAAAATTTTAGAGTGAAAAATCAATTTTTTAGAAATAAATATGAGAAAGAAAAAAAGTTGAGTATTAGAAGAAAAAATGAGATTTTGGAAAACAAAAACTAAATTAATTTTTTTTTTTGTTTTTGAAATTTACATAAAATTTCAAAATGATTTTTGAAAAACAAAAACACAAAATTGAATTGTTATCAAACAAACCTATGTTTCAAAAACTAACAACCAAAAACCAAAAACCAAAAATAAAAAACGAAATGATTATCAAACGGGTCTTAAAGTATTTCTTGTTTTAATTTTATTTTCCATTTTGTGTAAAAAGTTATTAGATCATATTATTTTTCTGTGCACAGTTCTATGAGTTAGTAGACAGTTGGGATACTTATGAATTGGTTTTGTTATTTTTTCTCTTATTTAAATGGAATTTGTAATGCTGATAAGTTAACGAGGAATATGCAATTTTTCCCAAATTAGTCTTAATATGGTATCAGAGGATATTTTCGCATTTTCTCTCTCTAGACTACGATCATGACTGATTCTCTTATGGAAGACCCTATTCCTCCAGCTTCGAATGCTTCGCCATTGTCTTTAACCTCGACTCCAACTGTTGATTCCGCTATTAATCCCTATTATCTGCATCATACAGATAATACTGGCTTAGTTTTTGTTAAGAGCAAGCTTGGGTTTATTGATGGATCGCTTCCGCATCCTACCGTAGAATTGCTATCGGCTTGGATCTGCAATAACCATGTGGTTATCGCTTGGATTTTGAACTCCGTCTCTAAAGAAATCTCTCCAAGCATTCTTTTTTCCGAATGTGCTCGAGATATTTGGGTGGATCTGAAGGAAAGATTTGATAAGAGCAATGGACCGTGAATCTTTCAATTGAAGCGCGAATTGGCTACTTTGTCTCAAGATCAAAACTCGGTTAGTCTTTATTTCACCAAACTCAAGTCTGCATGGGACGAATTGAATCAGTATAGGCCGGTATGTTCTTGTTCCTGCACTTCCAGTGGTACGAAATCGGCTATTGCCTTTCTTGAGTACGAATATTTGATGAATTTATTGATAGGATTAAATGAGTCTTATGCTCAGACTCGCGCTCAATTGTTGCTCATGGATCCTCCCCCAACGATTAACAAGGCTTTCTCCCTTGTTCGACAAGAAGAACAGCAACGTGTTATCGGCAATTCCTCTGTTCCTTCTTCTGCGAATTCGTCTTTTGCCCTGGCGGTTTCACAGTCCCCGATTTCAGGTAATTCTATGCCTAAGCCTAATTCATCTGGTGTCAAGAGGAAGAAGCGTGCGTTCTGTACTCGTTGTGGTGTGCATGGTCATACAATCGATCGATGCTACAAACTCCATGGTTACCCTCCCAGTTATCGTTCTCAAGGACAATGCAATACTCAACGATCAACACAATCCCAAGGCTCCTCACAGTTCCAGACTTCCTCGAAGCCTTCGGATTCTGCAGTCCTGGCTGTGTCTCAGAATGCCTCTTCCTCAGCTATGGCTTATGAATGCTCAGTGTCAGCAGTTGATTCAACTTCTGCCGTCACAAATGCATGTCAATTCCAAGTCTCCTACTCCTACTAAGACTTAGGGAAATTGGCATGGATAACCTAAAAAAGTTTGTTGTTTGTTCAACTTACCTCAATTAAAAAATTTGACTCAACTGACCCAATTTAATATTTTGAATAGAATATTGAAGGATGAAATTACTATTTTAGCCTCAATCTGGAATGTAAGTGAAGTTGCAAACGAATTAACACGAAAGGAAATTAATGGGCAGGTTCGACCGTGGTTATTGTTAGTTTGACCTTGGTTAGTAGAAAAATAACACGAATTTTTTGCTTCACCACGACCGTGAACTATAGGACCCTGGGCGTGGTGTTAATGAAAGGCAACTAATGGGCTAGATTGGACCGTGGTTAAAATGAATGCTTGACCACAGCCGTGAAAACTAGTACCACGACCGTGGTGTTCATGAAAGACAACTAATGGGTTAGGTTGGACCGTGGTTAAATTGTTTGCTTGACCACGGCCATGAAAAAGAGTACCACGGCCGTTAATTTAATGACCATTATACCCCTCAGTTCAAATTCAAACTGTTCGTATCTCTCATTCCATCTTCTTTT